GCTCATCCCCCCTGCGCCCTCTGGGGGGTGGGGGAGGCACGCCAACGCGCTGCCTGCTCTTCCCCCCATCGCCCTTTGCTTCGTCCCGGGCCCCGTACTGCGCTGCCCTGCCCGCGCCTGCTCGCTCCCCCCTGTCCTCGCTCTGGCACGTCTCTTCCAGATCTGCTGCCCTCTATTTGCTCGCTTCCTCCTCTCTTGCCTGTATTAGTTAGATTTCGACCCGTCGTCCTATTCTCAGTCCGTCTCCATCGTCTCCCCGCCCACTCGTCTTATCTCCAGTTCGTCTTCTACTCTGATCTGCTCTGCCCTGCCCGCGCCTGGTCACTCCCCCCTGTCCTCGCTCTGGCACTCCTCCCTATCTTGTCCCATCACCTCTATTTACTCGCCTCGCCCTCTCATTCCCCATCGTCATCCCTCCATCCTCTCCCATATTATCACATTATCAGTCGACACATCGGCCTCTTCCCATGCCGTCCCCATCCTCTCCCCGTCCGCTACCCGTCTTATCTCCGTCCTCTTCCCGTGCTTTTCCGGTGTTCTCCCCTTCTTCTTCCTGACCCTTTTCCTCCTCTCTTTGTCCTCTTCGCGCCCTCTGCCACTCCTCCTTCCTTCCACTCCCTTCCTCGTTCCCACCACTCCTCATCCTATTCCCATCCTCTGACAGTCCTCGTTCCTTCCATTCCCTTCCTCGTTCTGTCCTTGTTCCCTCATCTTGTCGTCCTCTTCCCGTCCTCGTTCTGTCTTGAACCTGATCCTGCCCCATGCCGCCCTAGCGTCCTGGCCTGCCTCGCGTCCCCAGTCTCAAACACCGCTTGTGGGATTGAGAAGCTGTGCCACGCGCTCGAATATTTCGTTTCGCTCCGGCATCAAATAAATCCACTGCAAAGTGGATTGAGGTTGTCTTCCAGAACCCACGTAATAGCGTATAGGATTTTTTATGTAATATAACATGGAATGTCATATCAGTCTTTTAGGATTATTTCTCTCCCCGAGCGATATGCGCTCGGGAAATAGAAATCTTCCGACTTGCATCTCCAGATTTCCTAGTCCAGGGGGCGAGTTCTAATTTAACGGACATTAAGTCACGAGGTTGTAGCTCCTATTTTCAATATGAGACGGGTGTTCCCATCATACGCTTTGAAATTACATTTCAGGAAAAAACCTGCATTACATTTTCCGTATCTTCAAATATAAACCTATATTGCTACGTAATATTATTGGAATTTAAAGATTATAAAACAAGAACAATTGCACTTTGCTCAAGATGAAGAACATGTTTTTCTTTGTTCATGATCACGTCTGCAATACTAAATTAAAATTACATTTAATGAAAATTTTAATCGCAAAATAGCATGTATGTATAGTTTAAGTTGATTCTAATAAAATTGTTTCTATAGAAGTGTTTCATGTCAATCGACCTCAAAAGTAAACAAATTTTATATCATTCCTCTACAAATCAGGATTTCAAACACAACAACCAAAAGTTGTAACAATTGTATAAATATAGGTGTTGTGGTGTGATATCTTTGGCATTTTTAAAATAATTAAAGATGTTGTCATTGCCAACAATATTTTTTAATGCAATAGCAGCTTTCGATGGCTTAGCCATCATCATCAGTTGTCTGCTAGATGGAAGCCACAAAACGACTACCTAGACTAGGTATGATGATGATGGCTAAGCCATCGAAAGCTGCTATTGCATTAAAAATATTGTTGGCAATGACAACATCTTTAATTACAATTGTATAAATCGGAACCTATAATAAAACCTATAAGAAATGCATCGTAAGTTTAAAATTTATCGTCGCTTCGCCGTATGTATTCGTAAGTTTGATGTAACTTAGAACTATGTGTCGAAACGTCGGCACCTCAGCCTTAGACGGAACGTGACCCAGAAGGCCAAGATTATTTCCATGACTTTGGCCGCGGAAATCTACGACGTCACTGAATGTATTTTGTAGAAATTTAAACAAAGAAGCAGAAAATGCTGCCTTCGGGGGATTCCTTCATTCAAGACAACCCCCGGCATTTCTGTTGCTATAACCACACAAATTCTGGGGAATATGTGACGTGTTGATCACCCAGTGAATAGCCCCGGCTTAGTGCCGAGTGATTTACATGTTCTATTGGAATTGAAGAATGTGCATGGAAACCAAAGCTTCCAGACTATGGAGGGGCTTCAAAACAAAGCCCATCTAACATCATTAGCTGCAACGTTTGTCGAAGATGGGATCGAGGAGCTCGTCCACGGATATCATAAAAGGCTAAAACTCAACGGAGACTGTAAAAAAATTGTAGCTATTTTTGCACACAAGTTTTGATAATTAATTCATTTTTACTCGTGGATATTTTAGGGACGGATGGAAGGTAAAAATGACCTTGTATTTTGACCTTTATGTTTGTGAATTGGTTTATTTGTGGGTAGGAGCATTGCATACATTGTCTAGAAGAAAAAAGAAAGATGGATCGCATCAGCATAGTGGAAATGGAAGGGAATTCATAAACTGAATAAGAGACACAGACCAGAAGAGGATAATTAAACAACGAAATATTGGGTAAATTGACTGATGTACGAAAGATACAAATAAATGAGAGGTTGTGAATGAGATAAATACAGTCACGATCGTGAAATGACCGTGTGTTTAACTTCTGATGCTCGGTAACTTCCTTGTGGGAGCCTCGATTCTCGCCGAAAAGGTCGACGCAGCGTTGTTGCGAGGTCGGCAACCCAGCTGCTGCGGCGCGGCGTCCCAGGCACCACCACGAGGGGCCGCGCTAGGCCGCGTCGGCGCAGCCGCCCGGCTCTGACCTGCTCTGACCCGGAGGGGCCGGCGGCGACGGTGGGCGGCGACGGTGGGCGGTGCCGGCTGGGATAGTTTAGCGATACGTGTTGGGTACTGTTACAGAGTCAGTGACCGCGGATCATACGCTTCGAGTCTGGACGATGTCGGAGTTTCCACACTAGCTACGTTGCTACGTCGAATTGTAGCGGTCGACTGCTCCTTCTTTTACGATCAATACTAAACGAATGCCAGAACTGTAGGTTCCAGTAAACAGACCATGGAAATCACGCGTTCTTCCATTATACTGGACTCCTCCGCTTTCACACACACACACACACACACACACACACGCACACACGCACGCACGCACGCGCGCGCGCACTACACTTCCACACATGTCCAGTAGAGCTTATAGTGGATGGTGCCTCGTTGGGGGCCGATACTCTGGCGTATTAATTTCCCACGTAGTTTGTCATCACCCTTTATTTCGAAAGAGCTCTTGTAAAGACAGGAACTAGTTTAGCATTTAAGGCGTTCTGTGACAATGTTACGCTACAAACAGTTGTAGAGATAGCAATTACGCTATTTTGTTCGTGAGAATTATTATTTATAATAATATTTTCGCTCTATAAAGAGCCATTGTGTCTGAAATACATGTAGGTAAATTTTATTCTGGTAAACGTAAATGCACCACACTCACTGGAATAAGGACTGTAGTAGTTGACGCGTCCAGAAGTACTAATAATAAGGAAAACCATGCCACGATTTTACCGAGCGCTTACGATTGATATTATAGGAGTATCCCCTACAAAATCACCTTAGACGGTTATAGTCTCTCGCGCTATAGGGGAACCTATCCTCACTCTAGGTTGTCTCAGCGTGGGAAATTTCTCCAGGCATAGCTTTTTAAAGCAATGACACGGTCGACTGATGGCGCACTATTGGCACCCATTGCGTTCGACGCCATTGTGCTCCATTGCCACCGGTACCAACGCGATGGAGTGGGTATCTGTGCCTTCTCAATCTTGGGCAAGCCAGTGGCGATGCGTGCAGTACCATCCTATTTTCTCCAATTTAAATGTGTGCGTTCACTGGAAGGAGCTGGAAGGAGAGGGGAAAAATTAACTATTTTGCTTTTCCGAAAATAATTAGTTTTTCACTTACTGGCTTGGCACGTAGCAATCGAATGTCACCTGTATTTTCGTTGTACGATATTTCCCACCACATGCTAATTAGGAAAACGTGATCACTTCCGAACCTCGCTATACGCTCTAGAAGATAGTAACATTTACTCGGAAACGTTCTATAGTTTCTCAGCCTATTGGTTAGGTAGAAGGCGTGGAACACACAAACTTCGGGAAAAAACTGGATTCTGTTCTACAGCGCAATCAATAAAATGATTTGACTTTGCGAGTAAACATTTCTACAGATTAGTAAGAACGATGTTCGAGTAGTAAGAATGATTAGTAAGAAATGTTAGTACGTTATTAAAGAGACTAATATGAAAATAGAAAGTTGTTATAGGAACTGCGATGTATATATTGTATTATCTCACTAGGAAGGCGTTTATGGAAGCTGAAAGAAAAGAAATTGAATGATTAGGGTTTTTGAGAATATTGTTACCGGGCGGCTGAGTGAATCCCATTAATGAATGCACAAAAATCCAGAATTAATACCTGCTTAGTTTTAAACACATTCATTTGAATCCGATATTACTCATTTCTAATCCTACATATATTGTGAACCACTTGCAAGAACAGCAACGTTATTTGATGAAAATATGATGAGTAGTCAACGGCACATACTCTTACACGCATCACACGAGTTTCGAAATGATATAAAATGTCTGAATAGAGAATAGCTTTAAAGAAACCAACGGTACAAAGGAGCATGCGGCT